GAACTGAAAACAGTACGCAAAAATGAAGGTTGTATTATTATCAGAAATAGATATCTGCATATAAAGGATTAGAAATTGTTTGGAACTGAATTCTAAAGATACATAAATATGTTTCAACATTGAAAAAGTCTTTAATTTCTTTTTTCTTAAGTCACAAAAAATCATTGTCTAAAAAATAAAAAATAAAATAGAAGCGAAAATAGTACGCAAAAATGAAGAAATATATATCTGCATATAAAGGATTAGAAGTTGTTTGGAAATGAATTCTAAAGATACATAAATATGTTCGAAAATTTAAAAACTCTTTAATTTAATTTTTCTTAAGTCACAAATACTCAATGTCTAAAACAAATGATCAAACAAATTACAGAGCTAAGTTTTAAAAAATTTTACCATTTTCCCAGATTTATTAGGAATATTTTTATTCCGATTATCAAAAATTAAATTTGGACTCTACACAATGACAAATCATGGAATTGTCTACTATAATTATAAAACAGTACTTTAAAATTCCAAATTATGGAGTTGAACCATCACAACTATCATGCAAAAATTTGTTGAAATTATTTAATTGCGACTCATAAAAAAACTCATTATTCCATATTAATTATGTCCACAATTTGTTTCAAAGTCCGAAATAAAAACCTTCTCATCAAGCTTTGAGCAAAGCTCTGTTTCTGGGCTAATAAAAAGGGTTCAATTCAGTACAGCATGGCTTAGCTTTTGTTGTTATTGTTGTTGCCGCTGTCAGAGTATTATCCTTGAACGAGATCATCAATCTTCTTTTGTTGTTGTTGTTCTTGTTATTGTTGTTGCATAGTACCGTGCATCGTCATCGTCTTGGTTGTTTTTGCTGGCGCGCCTTTTATATGCCATTTGCCATGCACAACATTATTCTTCTTCTCTTCTTTTTACTTGTCTTTTATGGCAAAAAGCAGCAGTACCAGCAGCACCAACAACAACAACAACGACGACGACGAACTCCCCCACCAGCAGCAGCAACAACAACAGCAGCAAAAACAACAGCGTCAACTGCAGAAACGACTGCGTTCCTGTTGTAGTTGTTATCGTAGTCGCTTTTTGTGGATTTCACTTTTTTAGTCATTTCCATTTATTTTATTTGCAATTTTGACTCGGAACTTTTTTAGTCCAGACGCGACGAGTACGACCAACCGACCGACCGACAGACCAGAGAGACAGCGACGAGCGCATTTCATTTGTTGTTTTGTTGTATAAGTTTGCGAGTGCTTATGTGTGTGTGTATGTGTGTGTAGTTGTTGTTTGGTTTGTAGTTGACTGCGTCGATTTTTGCCTTCTATGTGTGAGTGTTGCTGTGTGCAACATGCAATGACCTCGAACTTGTGTGCATCTTTGAGTTTTTGCATTTCATTTTGTTGCCCCCACAACAAGCGTTTTGTTTGTTTTGTATTGCTGTGTGGCTCGTTCGCTAGTCAGTCGCTGAGTCGTGAGTGTAGTTGATCCAGTTAGCACGAATGAAATGGCCATTTCAGCTTGTGGGCCAAAAGGTTGATACCTGAACATCTTGTTCTGGACACACACACACACACACACCTTAAGCTGCAAGTGACATGATTTACTTAAGCCATAAATAGCCTTTCTAATAAACAAAATCACAGTTCAATAAATGCCCAGACGTGGGTGTGTGTGTGTGTAAAATATGCTTTTGCCTTCCTCACATGTGTGCTAAGCGAGACAGAGAAGGGGAGAGAATAACATACACACATAAGTACGTGCAAAAAACTGCATACAGCATCAAAGAGCGTACTACATACTCGTATACCGAAAAAAAAAAATGTTTTTTGGCTGCACTTTGAAGTGCTACTCCCTGCTAGCTGCATGTTGGACTGTAGGGAGGGAGTTTCAATTTGAGAGAGGGAGCAAGAGTGCTGAAAGAGAGGTCGTAATTGGGGGCAATAACAGAATTAATTTATATACGGGTGCTGAACATTTAAGAAAAATTTAGCCGAAGCCAGACATGTTTAAAGCATAATTATATAACAAAGAATGAATAAGTATATAACGCTATTATTTATGTATGTATTACTCATTGTAATAGAATAACCCTTACTTTCATTTCATTTGCTAATTAAATAGCACGAGGCATGGTACCGTTTTCGAATTCGTTCCAAATATCTACATAGTTTAATATGTTCAATTTCAAATACCTATTGACGTAATATATTCCCTTTTAAAATCTTTGCCTTGGATACCATATCTCCAACTTGTATCCAACTAGCACAAATAGAATAACGTACCAATAGCTCGAGTTCCGCTAAGGGAACAGGTTTGATAAACAAAATAGCATGCGATCAAATTTGTCTACACAATCAAACCCCAATAAAACAAATCGATAAAACTGCACAGACTCCACACATGCACCCGCATAGAGAGACCTGCAGTGCGCAACAACTAAATAAAAACGCAACTACACAGATAACGCAGTAGATGCACACACCACCCGACCTTTCACACACACACACTTGCACTGGCAAACTGCATTTATACACATACGCATATACTATTTACATATACACATGCGTACACACAAATACAGGTATGTGCATGTGCAGCAAAACTCCACTAAAGCGCGCTCGCGCTCGCGCTCTCACTCTCTTTCTGTCTTTTACGCTCTGTCCAGCTCCCAAAAGGAGAGAGGCAGCAGATTGCCCCCACTTGTGTGCATTTGTATGGGTGAGCAGTTGGCGCTGTCTGCCACACTCGCAGCAGCGACGCGGACGTTGACGTCAACGCCACCGGCACGCGCTGCAACGGCGGCGTCGGCAACATTTTGCGGTTGCTCTCAAAATCTAAATTTCAAGTTCGTCTCGTGCAATTTATCAGAGAGTTTCAGCGCTTTTTATGCTTTTATTTTTTTTTTGGCAACCTCTGCGAGTCGACACTTCATAACAGCACTTCAAAACAGCACAGTCCACCACTGCCCCGCCCTACTGCTACTGCCGCCCCTTGTCATCACCCCCTGCCATGCTCTGTTAGTTCATTTTTGCACTCTGTTGTCATTTTTCGTGCTTCGTTTTGCGTTTTTGTTCCTTTTGGGGAACAGCAGCCTCCAAAGCAGCGCCCAGCGCGCGCCTCACTCGTTCTGGTTGAAAACGAAACCGGATTTTGTATATTTGTTGCCTCTTTTTTTTAGAAGTTTGTCTCGTGTTTGGTGCCGAGCTCCATTGCGTTCTTTTTTACATTTGACTGAGTTTTTGGCATGCAGTTTTATTGTATTTTACCTTATTTAAGTTTTTCTTGTTCCTTTTTTTCTGTTTTGGCCGTAGTGTTTTACCTTTTGTGCAGTTTGCTTTGCGCTTTTTGTTGGTCTCTTTATGATTCACAATTTCCGCGTAATATTTTGCATATTTTCGTAGTAGACTGGTTATCGAAAAAAATAAAACAAAAGCGTTTCTTTCAACAGGGCAACTGCAAAAAGGAAATTAAAAATAACTTTGTTTTGATTTTGAAATGCGAACTGGTTTTCTGAATCAGCGTGCAGCCGATGAAGGTACATACATATACAACATGATCCCCAAAGGAATTAAAAACGTTTCCACATACCTATCAACATGCATTATGAATTGTTTTAGGAGATGATATCCATGATGTGAAAACTATTATATTATTGCCTATTTTACTACATAAACAAAAATCTGTGTTGCACCTATCAAATGTCTTTTAGGTGCTTACAAATATTTCTATAGTTTTGAGCCCATCAGGGCGTATACTTTATATTTATTTATTTATTTAATTCTCATTCTTGTTGAATGCTTGCTTGTTTTTATATTGGTTAAAGCTTGTTTGCAATTATTTAAGAACCTTTTGAAATGGTTATTAATTTACGAAATTAAACTTTAACTAAAAATATTCGACAGGTAACATTAAGAAGGGTTTAAAAATGACGCATTCAAGTTGAAAATTAAAAAAAAACTAATATGCAATCACTTCGCAACACTATAGATACACGTATACATACATATATAGAATATCAGAATTGGATCAAACTTTGAGTAGAAAATAATTGCACTCAAGAATATTTTTAGTAAACTTCAAAAGTTTTACAAACTAAATCGAGAACAATTGTTATTAGGAACTACTACGTGTACATAGTATTCACATTTTTCCTATTAACTCCAACCTATTACTGCTTACTACTTAGTATGTACTTATGTACGTTATTGTGTATAATATTCCTCTTGAAGATATTCATCACGGTAAACTTATCTTTAAAATCATGTATCCCCGCTTCCTTTATGGTCCGCTTGAAAGCAATACGGTTCGCTTTTACAACGCCTTCCGCCTTGTTGGAAGCATTGAGGTTTGCTCATTTGTTTAATGTGCTCCCTCGCAGGTTGCACAAAGAAGCAGCGCCGCCAAACAAACACAAAGAGGCGGTTAAAAAACTTGCGTTAATTATTTCCAGGTTTCCCATTTCTCACGCCAAGGCAGGAGCCTGGAGCCAGGAGCTAAGACCGTCGGCTTTTGTGCATTTTTTATGCTGTTGTGACACCTTTTCTTTTGGCCGGCTTGGCTTGCGCATAATATTTATTTACGTAGCGGCTTTTTTGATGCTCAGAGTGTGAGCCGTTGAAGAAAAGCAGCATCTTAACCCATTAATGACCACTTTAAGTTACTCAGGCAGGCAGTTTTCATGTTCGGTACAAGTTGATTTAACCAATCGCATATTTTTCCTTCACTTTCTTTGAACATTCTAAAACTCAGAGATTACATCGATTCTTAAAACATACGGAACATAGAGCACAATAGTAGTTAGGCTATGATGAATAGTAGTTAGCAATATTTGTTAAATAATATTTTGGTTGCCCTTAAAAATAAACCTTCATACTAACACTCTAACTTGTATACACTCCGAGATTTTTTCCAACAAACGCAGGACTGCTCCCATTAAAGTGGATGTATGAGGTATTTACCATTTAAGTAGAATATATAATCGAAACAATTGAAAAATAGGCATGTTGTACGAGTGGAAAAATAAAGAAAAAAATCCTTTTAATATTTTTAAACAATAATTCTATTATCAATATCTGTGTTAATGTTTTAATGTTTTCTTCGTCTTCACCTCCACCTCATCGTCCTCGGCGTATTTGTTTTCATTGTTTTGTATGCGTGCTATATCGGCATTATATAATCGGAACTCGACATTCTTTTGTTGTACGTTTAGTGTGACGATCAGACAATAGAGCAGAATGATGAGTTGCTTGGTGCGGAGTATGTAAGAGGCTCCCATATCATTCGGAAATATGGGCCTATCCCACTCGCTGCAATCGTACATAAAATAGCCGCCCTCATGCGTCGACGTATAGCCAAAGGCCAGACGTCGCTGCTGGCACTCTAATATGCCCCATTGGCAGCGGGTGAAGAAGTAGCTGAGGGCCTCTGACAAACTCATCACCGCACTCGCCGGTCCACTGTATAGATGTCCAAAGGCCAACAGTTGTAGTTGCACCATGAAACGCATACTCTCGAATTCGCAATGGAGGGACATATCGTCAACGCCCAGATTATGGTCCCAGCGTTGGCTGCTAACGACACTCTCCCGATAGTATTTGTCACCATTGACCACAATGGCGTCTAATAGCTTGGCATTCCAATCCGCCAGGCGCCGAAAAACGCTCGCCGCACAGCAAGCCACCACACAACAGCCTAGGGTCTGGCGTCCTCTAACCATATTATCGAACCAGGCGGCACAGGGATGCATGCTGCCCCAGAGGGACCAGAGACGATCTGTGATTTCTATATCGTAGGCATGCCATTTGTTGCTAGGATCCTGACGCGCCGTTCCTTCTATGTTTCGGAATAATCGGCGGCTCCAGATGGGCTTTGTATTGCTGGGCATCAGCCAGGTCATCGACTCGGAGCGAGCTGATAAAGGAGTCCTTTGTGTCAGGTCCTTTAAAATACCTCTGATAATCGGGCAAACTTCGCCGTTTCCGCTGCTCATGTTTTGGCAAACTTTTGATCAGCTTGAATTTAAGGGGTTTGTTCCGAACTACCGTTAGTATCGAAGTGCCACTCACACGATTAGGAGAATACGAAAACCTATTCTCGGCCCAGAGGATTTCACGGACATAATTTGGTACACTACGTTGCCACATGTTTACAACAGAGAGAATTGCCTCGGCCCAAGGAATCTGGTTTACATATTTTTGGATCTACTTTCGTGGCGACGCTGACGATGATACGATGGAGAGATGGAGGCTTCAACAAAAATTTTGGTATGTATTGATTTAATAAGGAAAAAGAGGCTAACTGACAAAATGCTTGACCTGAAGACATTTTAAGAGCCTACTGTAGTAATGTACTTCTCTTGGAGTCAAAAGGTGTGGAAATAAATCACATTTAAAATTAAGAGCAGCTTACTTTTAGGGTTAACTTTGCGGATTTTAAATAAATTTCCGCTCCGCCATTTTAAAATATCGTTGGACATTAATTTTCAATACTTTTATCCCATAGCGTATCAAACTGCTTGGTCCAAGCAGTAAAATGTGAATATAAAGCTTGAAGATTCTGAACGGCGATTTGATATCCATGAAGCGAATAAAGGTAGTACAATAAATCTCGTAACTGACATACTGTATTCCCAATTCTATACATAGGTATATAAACAAAACTTTAACATATCAAATAGTACACGACGAAATAAATGCATTCTGCACATAGCCTTATACATTTATTAATCCTCTCCTGGTTGCAATGGACAATATTTTAAATATAATTTCAGCTCACTGGTCTGATGGCTCACCCTGGTTAAATAGCATATATTTAGAAACCATAAAATCTACCTCAATTTGACTTAATCTCTGTTCAATGTCTTTACGCAATACATCGATGGCCTGCATATCCTTCTCTGCCTGCTCTCTTGTAAGTAGACTTTTGTCAAACTTAGCGCTAAATTGCTCAACATTTTCATCCAATTCCTCAATTCTATTTCCCAGATCCGAAAGACCTTTTCTTATGTCCCCGGCATCAGAGTTGAGTTCAGCCAGTTTTGAAGCATTGTCAACAAATGTTGATGGAATAAATTCAGGTGTTTCGGACTGCTGCTGATTATCGCAGACATCTTTGGAAGCTGTCTTAGGACATTCTATCTGAATTGGTATTTCTTCTATGGCTTGTTTAATTTCTTCCTCCTGTTCCGAAGTATTGTCAGCAGCAACCGAACTTACATAATAGCCACGAATCTTCAGTAAATTTTGACGCAGTTGACTCCAATTTAGATTGGAATTGCTAGACGACACATGTCCCTCCTGAATATTCACGGTGAAGCGATTGATGTCATCGATAAGTGTGGAAATATCAAAGTGATTGGCGGAATCAGGAGCTCCACTCAGGGTAGTGGTACTTTCGGCTTCATTCAATGTTAGTTTCAACTTTTCTGATTCCTCCATTAACAATTCCTCTTTCTCTGCTTTGCTGTTACATTCCTGCTGCTGTTTAATAATGTTTTGTACGCACTCCATGAGATAATCATTATAGTTAAGAAATTGTTCATTCTTAACTTCCATTGCAGTGTTAACAATTATTGCAGCGTTTTCCTCAAACTTCTGAAAGTCTGTGGCTTCACACAAACGTTCCGATGAGTTGGATCGGAGTGTTTCCATGCTTGCGGTCGATGTCAAATCGTGCTCAATGACACCCTTCTGGCAATGTGTAGTATATATTATATATTAGATAGAAATTCACAATTAATTTAGTTATAAAGTGTTTTACCTCTAATTTACGGCCCATCAAATCAGGTTCCTGAATCTGTGAAAAGCTGTTCTCAATTAACATTTCAATTTCGGTTTTTTGCTCTGATTTATTGCACTCCTGCCATATTTCTTGGTTCTCAGCTCTCTCTTTATTGTCACACTGGCTCTCTTTCAATTGGTTTAATTGAACTGCTTGTGAGGCATTCTCCTGCTGTTGCTTTTTGGCAATGCACTTGTGTTGTTCAAGGACTGCTTGTTGCTCTGCTTGCTGCATGGTCGGCTCATTAATGTTTAAATTTTTAAATAGTACCGTTATCAATTCAGCATTATAGGCTTCTGAATCGTTGCCTTTCTCTCTGATTGGTTGGTTAGCTTCAATTGTGGATGCATCATCGGTGGGTATTTCCTTTTCCATGTTCTCGTTTTTTTAACTAACAGCTTACTTACAAAAGTTAAATTTAGTTGGACTTGCGTCTGAAATATACAATTTGAGGAGCTACACTGTCATTTGGATTGAAATGTCTATGCCAGGGTGCTTCAGTGCTCGCAGTTGCTTAGCGAAACAACAAAAAATTAAGTTCGCGTTACTGCAACGCATTAGCGTAACCAATAATTTAAAACATCGTAAACACATCGTAAATTTTGCACAAGCAAAATTAAGCTTTAATTCTGAATAGCTGGCCAAGACAGCAGAGCCAAGAAACTGGTATCCAGCAGGCAGACAGGCAGAAGATCCAACCCCAGTCCCAGTCCCAGTTCCAGTATTTCTCGAGCTACAAACTGCAACACATAATTACAGTCCATTAATTTTTTTTTTTTTTCGCTTGGCGCTGTTGTTTCTTTCACTTGGCGCATGCATGATAAGTGCCACTTGCCAGCTCTGTTTTCGAATCCCTCTTCCCGGCTCCAGCTCCGGCTCCGGTTCCAGCACCCGAACCCAAGCCCGCTCCTCCTCCCGTCCCGGCATTGTGTATTTGCTTTGATGAAAATGCTTCGCATTTCACAACCAAGTTGGACCTTTTTCGTGCTTTGGCATGCAACGGTCTTTGTCGAGGTGTAACCTATATTTTTCTGTTATTTTTAATTAGAGCCTTCTTTGTCTGCTGTTTGCCACTAGCAGTGACTGTGGCTGTGGCAGTGGCAGTGGCAATGGTTATGGCAATGGCAATACCTACCGTTGATTATTGTGCACCGTGAGGCATTCAGCCGTTTAAGCTGAATTACACATAAGATGCTAAACTGAAGTACATTGGCATTCCAGCTTGTAATTACATAACTAAGACCAATTGTCGGAGCTTCCAGACCGCCTTAGCTGCCGCCACATGTGCGTAGATAGTGAGGCGAAACGCTCAACCATACCCGAGCGAATGGAGAAACTAATCAATTTATTTAAATGCAAAACGATGATGAGTGTAATTATTCGGCAGCCTGACTTGCAGTTTGTAATTTTAAAGTTGATGGAAACATTAATGGGCAGAAACTGAGATTAACAAACAATTGCATGGCCATAAATAAGGAACTTATGTAGATGCATTCGCATTCGCAATGAACATTTACTTGAGTTGCATCATTATATTTGGTACATAAATTTTAGACTACCTTTCGCCCTTTACTTACAACTAATGGGTAAATCAAAGGTGCCGCAAATATTGCCATTATGTTTTGACGGTTGCTTTATTGTAGAATTGTATGGATTATTTAATATTTCGGTTACCATTAGTATAACCGAGCACTTAGCGAAAAAATGTACTTAAAAATGTACTGTACACAGTTTAAAAAAAAAATTCTTTTGTCTTTAATTTAATTGGTTCTAAGTTAATGAGTTAATTTTTTTGTTGATTGGTGAGAGGAGCATTTAAAACTATTTATAACATAAAATGGCAAGGAAAACAATTATAAGTAGCTACTAAAGGTAGAAAATTAGCTAAAAATTCGCCAGGAAATGTCTAGAGACCCCACTAAAATATATATGAAAACACCGCTATAAATAGCTATAAAATAGATAGAAAAAAAATTGATTGAAAACCCGCCGTCACCAATGGTTTTATTTCGCATCACAAATATTTTTGGAATCACCGAAAACCGCAAGCAAAGTGTTTTGACCAATAGGAGAATATCAGATTTACCGTGCTATTTGTTTCGTTACAGAAAAAGTTGCCGATCCAGCATTCAAGACAAACACAATTTTTGTTATAGAAAACCCCACAAATATACTAGATTAGTTAATTTATAAAAAGCACTGGCACCATTTTTATTTATTTAGTTATGAGAAGTAGTTAATGTGCAATTACAAGATATCGATTTAATTTGTGAAATCCGGGCTTAATCTTATTCCGTTTTCAACTTTTCTGAGAGCAGGACGAAGCAAAAAAGTTTCCAAACAAGTCAGACCTTCTGTTCCTTTTTCTTAATGAATTAAAGATATCATTTCTATAACATGAGCACCAGAAAATACTTCCCATAACTCTTGTCACTTGCTAATGCCAATAAAGAGCTATAGCTACTATAATTGCTGGCATGAGTTAATATTTGCCACCAATTCAATGAATTGAATGAATTGAAATTCAAATGTTAATTAATGGCACATTACAAATTTTACAATTCACACGAATTAGGTGATAAGTTTTTCTATGGCATATAGCTAAAGGCTGGAGGCCTTCCTCACACTTAGTTAAGTAAAAAACACTTGGCATTTGCTGGGCAATTTATTTGCATTCGTGCAGCATGAAATCGGCTTAAAATTAAGAGACACAGAGCCATCTTATCGTTAGCGCTAAGAGGTTAATAAATCGCATCTAACTAACCAATTGATCAAAGACCAGAGCCAGTCCACGCTACTTACCAATTGAACACAGTCTGTCAATGACAACTGCTGAAATAAAACTTCATCAATTTGGAGACAGATGCTGCCACAGACACTGCCACTGCCTCCGCCACTGCTGCGGTTTGCTGCTGCAATCAATTCAAGCTGTTAACACTTTATCAATATCGTGAGAGTGGCCACAGCAGCAGCAGCAGCTTGATAGAAGGCGGTATGGTTGACTGGAAGGCTTCAAAGCCAGTCACCGCCGTCAGATAAATGCAAGGTGCCAACGATGGCACGGCTACGAGTATCTTGGCCAACTCTTTGCCGGCATAGAAACGCTTGCGGTCTCAGTCTTGGGTCTCGACGCGATCACAGCGTGCCTGATATGAATGGTGTGTTGAGTCTCAGTCTGAGTCTGAGCCTGAGTCCGAGTCCAAGTCCGAGCCTCTCCACCAATGACTCCACCTTTTTGTTGCTACCTGCCGCTGTACACTCGGCCTACCTTTCTCTCTTAATTGACGCCTTGATCTTCAGCTGAGACTGCCACAGGAGCACAATTTTTTCCAGTTTTCCCACCACAACCGCCGCCTTCTTATTATTATTCGGCATTTACAATTTAATAACTTAATTATGCTTATAGATAACATTTTGTGGTAGTTCCACAAATTATTATTATTATTGTAGGCACTTTTAGAGAAAAAGCATGCTGAAGATAAATATTACAGCTTTTCAAAATTGTATTAAATTCAATGTGCAACTACTACTATTCATCGTTTGCCGCTCTTTACTTAATTTTAATAATTCAATTATTTGAATTCTACGGCCATTAAGAGACATTGAGGAAAAATTAAAGACTCCGAACTAGACTTTAAGTTAATTAGTTATTATTGTAATTTGATTAGTTTTCTCCTTCTTAGACTTTTCTAGCTTATAAGATGCTTTTTATAATTTTTATACCCTGTACCCGTAGGGTAAAAAGGGTATATTAGGTTTGTGCGAAGTATGTAACATACAGAAGGAAGCATCTCCGACCCCATAAAATATATATATTCTTGATCAGCATGACGAGAGAAATCGATCTAGACATGTCCGTCCGTCTGTCCGTCCGTCTGTCCGTCTGGATGAACGCGAGGATCTCAGAAACTATAAAAGCTAGAATAACCAAAGTTGGCATCCAGATTCTCCTAGGTCCGAGTAAGGACGAGTCAATAGCGTCCACATTTCAAATGCTACCTAAACCAAACTTTGCACACATAATTTATATATAATTGTCTACTGTTGTTCAAAATTTTATTCAATTCGGTCAATTCTAAGAAAAGTTATTAGCGAAACAAATTCTCGCCAGTACAACCCCCACAAACTGCAGCAACAAGTTCGCTCTTCTTCTTCCTCTTTTTGCTGCTGCTATGGGCGCATATAACTCAGTGACGGAAGTTTACCTGGGTACAGGGTATTACACTGTCGGGCTTGCTCGACTGTAGTGTTCTCTCTTGTTTTTATATATTTTCCTCCTATGTCGACAGCCAAATGTTTGTTGACATAATAAAATAAATAAATAAATAAAAGGTTTTGAGTAGGAAGTTTAGCTTATTCTTGTAGGTATTAACATTTCGTACGATTTAACAGCCTGCAGTTTTTTTAATTTATTCGACTGTAAGCTGCGCAATTTATTTTTGTTAAACACAGGTGGATTTTTTTTACACCATTTTTAATGAAAATTTGGAAAAGAAGATTTGCTGGTATTTCTATATATAGTTTTTGGCAAAGATTATTTCCCCAACATAATGCTTTTTCTGAATAATTAAAAATGTGTCGAATAGTCTGATGTTTCAAAATTGATCAATAATGAGGTAAAAATAATGAACAAACATAGAGTCCAGGATTGATTATCGCTAATAAAAACAATTATAGAACCTACTAATATTTAACAAATTTTTTAGTTCAGAAAAAATAATTTAAATTTTTTTCTAGATAAGAGACTTAATTTATAATTAAAAGGAAAGCTATGGATAATTATAGTGTGGCATATATGTTGTATATTTCTTGGCTTGAGTGTTCAAATTTCACATGCGCTAAGTAACTGAGTAATAAATATAGTAGATAAAGTATCAACTCATTTTCGACATACTTTCTAGTCAATTGTGAAATGGAGTTAAAAACAAAAAAGCATTCTGCATTAATAATGGAGAGTAATAGAGTAATAGAGTAATATTTTCGTCAACTTTATACTAAATAAGTATTCGATGGCAAAGTGAACATTCATGATAAACATTTCAATATTCAATATTTGCTTCAAAAGGTAGTTTAATCAAACTTTTCTTCAACTCCATAAAAAATAGTACAGTTCCTAATATCTAGCCTCACATTTGAGTATTTTACCAGAATTTGGCATCATTACTTGATGTATACATCAAGTCTAAAATATTTCAGTTGGAACTATTTGAATTGTACTTTCCGCATTTTCAATATATCGGCTTATCCTTTGTGCCATCAAACTTTATGTCTGTTGCTGCCTTCAAGCCGGATTTGGCTCAGACCCAGACACAAAGTCGAGACGGGCCAAAATAAACTCATTAAATATGTGAATAATCACAATTGGGCGCGTCCATAATCAGCTGCAGTGCAATGATCATGATCGTCATCGTAATCACACTGGGACCGCGACTCAGAATAGGACTG